GTTAATTTGGATAATATCACTGCCACATGTCGTCAACAACAGACTAACAGGAGGCAGGATTCAGAGAGTAGTCTGCTCCGCTTACTGCCTGCTGCCAGCTGTGAGGTCTGGATGAACCTTGAACAAAGAGGTGTCTCTCACTCCCTCTCTGTCTCTCTCTCTCTCTCTCCTTCTTAATGTTCTCTCTCCAGCATCTGTGTTACCTGGCACACGCACACATGCCATAAATAATACCTGCACCAAAATACGCTGGCCAAAAATGAAAGGTTTTAATGAAGCTTAAGGGCAAGGGATGCCACCGAAGGGCATGAGCTGATATATTGGGTCATAGCTTTAATTGATGTTTATTGCAGATTGCAGGTGCTTCCAAAATTAACTTAAAAGGTGATTGGGCACAGAACAGGCACTCTCACTGGTTCATCTGTTGAATTACAGTAGGGCTGCAGAGGCACAGGTGGCAAAACTTCAAATGGCAGAGCCGGGGGCAGGCAGACAGCACCCAGCAAATTGCAGACATTGTCATGTTCGGTGTCACAGCGTGGCTGACAGGGCCTGTGGAGCTCACTGGTGTTGGCAGCAACAAGACCGTGCATGTGTGTGATACTATAGTTCCGGATTAATGAGAGATAAAACTAAGCCAGGGAACATTGTCATTGTAACACACAATTCATCAAATGCCACATGAAACTACTGTAGAATCTCAGCAGGCTTCCAGCTGACATACTACATGGCGTTTTGTACTTGCGCTCCTCACATATTGTTGTGGAAACTGTTATATACAAAATGCAGCGTACAGACCAAGTGAAAATACCATTATGAATGACAGTATTGTTCTTCTGTGTTTTTTGGCTTGACGCAGTGTCGTAGAAGTATGTGGTGGACAGCATGGCCAGACCAAGACAGCATCATTTGGTGCTAATGAGGGACAGTCCTCCCATGAGGCTAACAGAGATGTAGCAAGGTTCAGAGAGTTGAATGTGAAGCCCACAGGGGGTTCATCCAATTACCAAACAAACTTGTTATGGTGTATTCAATTAATTTCTAACAAACTCTCAATTAACACTTTTTAGAGTCTATAAGTCTGTAGAACCTGAGAGAATTTTGGAAGTTTCACCAATAGCTGTTGCGTGTTTGCTGAACGGGGAAGAAAGAAGGTTCTTTTCACGTTCGATACGCTTTTACAAATGACAATTTTTCCTTCAATGACTGTGGCATTGTATTGTACTGCTGTAAGCCTATGATGGAAGATGAGTGTCTGTTTGCCTGTTAGTGAACACTTAACACCAGTGTCTTTGTATCACAGTAAAGCAGAGATAAAAGCGTAATGCCATTTCACTGGTGTAGTTGAGCTCTAATCCCTCAATTACCGTTGTGTATTTTTCCAACTACACACTTGGCAGCCTATACAAAATCCAATATGTGAGATTTTCACAAGTCAAGTGTGTTGTTCAAGAAATTAGATTAGTTTTTGAACCTGTGACAAATTCCTTAGTTGTACCTGTCAAAAGTGAAGGCTCCCTGTTGGCCCTTATCAAATTCAGCAAATTCATTTTCTCTCCAGGTATAGGAGTCATGCCGGTGGAGGTTATTATTCTGTTTGTTTGTCAGCTTGTGATTTTCTGCTACCAGTGAGGAGTGGCTGTTTTGCATCCAGTGCCTGTTGTCTGCTGCCACCTGTTCCTTCATTACCTGGCCACATATTACTCTTTTTTTTATGTGGATTGGAACACTTGATCCGTGAAGGGGATCACACTCTGAAATCTACCTTTTCTGATTAGGCTGGATTTAGTCAAAATACCTCTGCTTGAAATGTGAGGATATGAAATTCACCTGTTCAGAGGCAAGGGTGAGAGAAAAAGTATTTTCATTATTTCAGAAGGGATAGTTTGGCTTTCATGCTATGAAATGCTAGACTCTGACTTGAGTGGCAGTGCTGACGACACCTGCAGAGGTTGTTGTAGTGCTTTAATGTCGCTGCCAAGTCTGTTCAATGGAGACAGTGAAGACTGGGTCTCCTCCCGTGCTGTCGTCTACAGCAGAGCAATCTGCTGGGAGAAGTCAGACCAGGCCAGGCTCGCCTCATCACTCAGTGCAGTGAGTACAGGCAGCCCCGAGCTTTCACAGTCCCGATGCTCACAATGCATTCTTCATGAGGTATTAAATTAATATAAGAATACACAGACACACAAAGCAGAAAATGAATGTGATCTAAATGCCGCACCCCCATGCTATGGGCAGGCTTAAGCAACAAGGCTGGAGGAGGATGTTTGCTCTGTGCCAGCCTCATTAAATTCAACAGCCCAGTCCCTTCAACTGGCCCACAAAGTTGAGAAAGAACGGAAAAAGGTCAGGAGGTAGGATGAAATGAAATTAGAAACGGAAAAACTGTGCCGTTAACGCCGCCACGTCGGAGTATTGATTTAGTTAATTGAAATGGCATCGAGGGAGAAACACCAGATGGGTCTCCTCTGGCCTGAGGTGGGGTGCTGGCTAGCTCTGATAGGATCCCATCTGAGACGCACTGTCCCTGGGGTCCATGCTGATGCCTTTCTTCATTCCCCATCCTCTTTCTCACAGTTATCTACGGCCAACACATTCTCTTGCTTGTGTTAAGAGAATGTTTGTTAGACACTCTCCACATGAGTTAGTCGAAAAGCTTACTTATAAAGCCTCTGGATAAGACCTAGCTTGTTTGTTTTGTTGCGTTCAGAAAATGCATGGTTTTTTTTTTTTTTTTTTTATAAAGAAGATATCAAAAAAATTTGAGATAACAAAAACAGATGACATGGGAAAAAACAACACATTTCTGCAGGATTAACATATGACTAGATATTCTGTAAGGTTTGTTGCAGCAGCCATGACTAACCAAACCACAAAGCACAAGACCACCCTGGCAAACCACCCTCTAAATGGCATATCGCTTAGCTGTTCCTGTTTAAAATTTCATGAAGCTTTTACGAAAATAGGACACACTTTTTGTATGAATTACTATAAAATGGCATGAAGTTAAGCGGCATAACAGTAAGACTGGGACTGTGTTTGTTCAGTGGCTGAATACACATACATTTACACATATACACACTCTTATTGTGCAGTTGCCGTATTCAGCTTCACAGGGCATACGTTTGTTTGTTTCCATGGTTTTCTGTTTGGATAACTCTGCTTTAGTAATATGCCTCCAGCACTCGAGTGTGTTATAGTTTTGTCAATTTCAATTTCTTATACAGAGAGTCATAAACGTGTGTAAAAAAAACAGGGCCATCACTCAAACTGGTCAGTCTAGTCTTTCTCTGTCACTGTGTCCTCTGCATTCACATTTTCACTTTCTACAAATATAGAAAATATGGAAATCTAAATCAAAGCCTGCATTTGCACTGACCCTGTCAGGATGAGGCATTTTGTGAAAGATGAATCCAAGTTATGATCATGGAGTCCTTTTCTCCCCATGTCTTTGCTTTTATGATCTTACTAATCATATCCTGACTGCCCCCTGGCTGCCTGTGTCCTTCTGTCCTGGTGGTGCTCCATGCTCTTTCCCAGCATGCATTGCCTGTAATTAAATAGGAGCCTGGTCCTCTTGACAGTGTCTGTGGCTGCTTTCTCTACCTGGCAGCCTCCCCACTCTCTCTCTCTCTCTCTCTTTCTGTATCTATCTCTCTGTATTTCACTCACACAGAGACACTCTCCTTGCCTGGATGTCACATGAGGAACTGACTCTAGTCTCTGTCTCTCAAATGATTTAATTGGATGCAAACTCAGGAGCACGGACATCAATACGGAACTATATCTGCCATAAGGCAGAGCCATAAGTCAATACTTCGCCCTCCACATGCCGAAAGCTTTTGTCAGACCTAATTACCTTGTACTGTATTCAGTGGAGCTTCACCACTGGGGAACTGGGACTCCTGTGGGATCTGGTTAGGATCACAGTTCACTCCCAGTGTATACAGTGGAGATGGAAAGTTCACAAAAGCAAATATCACTCACTATTCTCTTCCATTTAATGCTGACAGCTAAATGACTGCAGTCATGAGAAGTGCACATTCACTTTAACTGGCTTCCTTGGCTTAGATATATTAGGTCTCGAAGACTAGACATCAAATAACAGAAATGAACCACATGCTAACCACTGTTTCCCCTTCGTGGTGATGTAGAGTGCTCCTACTCACTCTCACCTTTTCAATAAAAGTATGTTGATGCACTGATATAGATCAGCTCTAAATATGTGTGTATTATGGAGCCTGCATTTTGTTGTCGGTAATTTCCCGAAGGAAACACACACATTGTGAGATAGCTATTTTTCAACCACACGGAAAAAGATGCAAATGTAATGCATGTGCTCAGCAACCTTGTTTCTAAATGGCCTACATTAGGATTATGGTCAGACTGATAGTGTTCAATGTGTTCACATATCTCCATGCTTCCAGTTAAAGCATCACATATCAACCAGAGCAATAGGTATATGTAACAAGTCAGTCAGTCGGTGACATCAGTATCGATGGGATCAGTATTTTCACTTTAAGCTCGCCTTTAGCGTTATGGAATCCATATGAGCTTTCCAAGCTATTATGGTTGTGGTTTTGCCTTGTTGACCTCTTTCAGTTTTTTCCCTGTGAACAACATTTTTTTCAGTGTAAAGATGTGCACAGACAGTTGTGCTAACAAACACAAGCTCATTAGCTGGATGGCCAGCTGAAGTGGCAGGTGCAATCTGCAAAACGCTGCTGATTGAAAGTAGCCATGGTAGATGCAAAAGTTAGTATTATTAGTTGTCCTACTTTGTTGAAACTTTAACAGCCCGATGGACTTATTATATCTCTATCCAGGTTGTTTGTTCTTGTTTATTTGCTTTTGTTAATCTCCATCTAGCCAAATCAGGATAATACACTGCAAAGTGTCCATTAAGCAATTTTAATGAAGATACACATCACAAAACATACTTAACTACAAAACTTTAGTTGCACATTTCACTAACCTTGTAAATATACGTGCCCCTCTAGGGTGCCTCGTCCAGTCTGGTGGTCAAATTTGCAGACACTGATAAGGAGAGGACCCTGCGCAGGATGCACCAGATGGCAGGCCAGCTTGGCATCTTCAGTCCCATGACCATCCAGTTTGGGGCCTATGGCGCCTACTCTCATGCTGTAAGTCTCAGCCCGGCGGGGGAGGAGACGGTGAGCTTTAAAAAAAGAAAACAACAACTGTTGTGTTTTGAGGTTTGAATTCATGATTTCTCCCAATAGGCATGCGACACTCCCAGCAACAGCTCCTTAAGTGACTATTAAATGGCTGTTTGAGTCCACATTTGCAGAGGCTTTACAGAAAATGTGGCACTTCTTTTTGTATTGTATCTTTTTACCCCTTCATTTGTCCAGGGAAGCTGCTTTTCATGCATGTTCAGCAATACACTGTTTTACTTCCATACAGTTGTGAGCATCCATTTCTCATTCACTTTCCATTCCCACATTTACTGACTTGGTCTGTGAATTTAAACTGCCAACCCAAGCGTGCCTCCTTTAACTTTTCATCTTCGTACACATATGCTTTTACACTCAAACAGAGGTGCACTTCATTACCAAGAACCCACATTTGCTCACCCCCTACCCCTATCCCTGCCAGCCCAGCCCATACCTATTTCATATTCACACATGAAAGTCACAGCCTGAGTTAGGAGTCTGTGAGATTTTGCACTCACACAGTAGCTAACAACTCACCCTGACAGGTGAGAACCGCCCACTCACGCACAATCTTTCCACTAACTCTGCCACTGTGGCAGAGCTCTACATATATAGTACATATAGATATACATAGTCTCCAGCTTGCTAAACTCATCTCAACACAGCCTTGATTTTGTGTCAGTATAATGAGCACAAGGCCAGAGCGGTGTTACACTCGCTGGGAAGCAGCACAGACCACTCTGTACAAGAACAAGGCATAGACCAAACAAACAGTGATGAGAGAGTAAACATGCTCTGGTCCTGCGGCTATTTCACCCTCCTTTCCTTTTCTATCCTTCCCTCCATCCCTCCCTCCCACCCTACGCCTCTCCCCCCACTGCTCTGTAATCCTACAGCAGATGATGCAACAGCAAGCAGCCCTGATGGCAGCAACACAAGGGTCTTACCTGAACCCCATGGCAGCCATTGCTGCTGCGCAAATGCAGCAAATGGCAGCTTTCAATGTCAACGGCCTGGTGGCTACTCCCATGACACCGTCCTCAGGTATACACAAACAGGCACACACACACAAACTCACTAACTGACTCAGGTGCAAGAGCAAAGGCACGTGCAAACACAAACACACACACACATGCAGGGCTTCTCTCTCCATTTCTCACCACTGCCCTGGAACATTTTCATCATTAGCAAGAATTATAGAAACGCTAGTAATGTATTCATTCAAGGCCTTTCTGCTTTTGCCCTTGTTACATTTTTTAAGATGTGGGCTCCATTTTCTGGGCTGAAGCAGACATTGCCAGTGTCGAACTAAAAGAAGCCGAGGCTGATACTGAATGGGGCATGATAGGAGAAGATATACAGCATTCCTTGACACTCATTGGCAGCCACATTATAGTGTCTCTCTCTCCTCCTCTTGCTCATTATCTCTCTTTCGCTCTCTTGTCTGTCCGTCGCTCTCTCCCTCTGTGTCTCTGTGACAGTGTGTGTTTTCTGGGAACACAGCCAATCCACAGCCAATCCGATGACTTTGGATGCAGAGTCCTTGGCTTATACAATATAAGAGCAAAGATTTGTGTGAGATAATCCTGGACCCCAGTCTGAACTATCTTTTTGGCCCTTGTCATGAGGAGCTTTGATGGCTCGACACTAAGTAGGCAGGCCGCCTGAAGGCAGGGTCATTGCAAATGTATTAAATAAAGTGGCTTGATGCTGTACCTGGCATTTGTAAGCCACAAGGCCTACATATACCAGGTAATGCCTATCAAACATAATCCTACATGACTTAAATGCCCTTCATCTGGATTAGAAAAATAATAAAAATCCATCGGCACAAAAGGGCACTGACAAGGGGACAGACTTGGAATATCACCACAAGGAGAAAGAAGAGGATGCACAGGTCTCTACATCCAATATACTGTACATTAGGTACCTCTTCTTGTGAGTCAGTTTTGTCCCACTACGTTTTGTACCTTCAAAAGTAAAGTTATGTACCCCAAATATACCTTCAAACAAGGCTATAATGAGAAAATATTCAGAAAATCGGAGTGCTACCTTTATTATGTTCTGTTACTGTGGAGGATGAGTGTTTTTTTTTTTATCCCTGCGCCCTCTTCACATAAGCTTGTAGTGTGCTACCTTGACTGATTTAGTACTTTTAGCTTTGGTTCAGGCTGGATTGGTACCAATTTCTACCAAACTCCATGGTGGGTCAAAAGGTATGAATTTGTGCTGATGAAGGCCAATTATATGCTTGTTATACACTAGTACATTTGTGAAAAAAAAAATATATATACTTAAAAATATATATATCTTGTAGCATGTGAAGCGTGCACCCTGCAGTTGCCGTAGTGACTCCGTATCTATTTGCAGGCACCAGCACACCCCCTGGCATCTCTGCCTCAGCCGTGTCCAGCTTAGGCACCCCTATCGGGGTCAACGGATTCAGTGCCCTTCCTCCTCAAAGCAACGGGCACCCCACCTCTGAGGCCATCTACACCAATGGTATTCACCCTTACCCAGGTGAGCCAATCAAGTCTACATTAAAGAAACATAACATACATTTGCAACATTTTAAGTCATGAGACTGTTGTTCTGACCCTGACACTCACGATTAGCAGCTTGTACTGATGGAGGTATATGAATTATTCTAGTGTTGCACTTGATCTGAATAAGAGCATCACCTAATTGCCACGATGCAAGTTCAACACGTCAGTGGTGACAAATTTAATTATATCTCATGGTACTGTAAAAGTTGACAAGAGACCTTTTTTAATTCACACTCTCATTACGTCTTTTTCCTGATCTCAATTGAAGCGTTTAAGGCTTGAGGGTCAATCAACAGTGTCTGCTGCAGATTTCTGAGCGGCCATCCCCAGTATCATGATGAATCCATCAGTTCATCCATCAGTCCATTATGGTTAATTTGAAGTGTCTCAGCTCGTCTTCGCCTTCTCAATGTTGCCTGGGACTGATTCCTGAAGAATTGACAGACACACACACCCCTTTCCTGCATTATGCAAAGGCAGCTGCAACTGTAATGAACTACAAAGTGGTTTGTTTGGCATGTTGTTAATATTTGATGCAAACATCTGGGGCGAACAGGCATTTTGAAGAACTGAAATATGACAACCCAAATTTCTCCCACTCCCTGTGTGATCTTACCCCCTGATGGTTCTCTACAGCTAAGCCAATTTCTGTCTCGCTCTTTAACATTCTCTCTACGTCTGTCTTTGTCTCAGTCTTGACCATTCTCCGTCCTCTCTCTGTCTCTTCTGCTTTCATTTTCCTCATTGTCAACCCCCTTTCTCTGTCTCTCTTTTCGTCTCTCTGCAGCACAGAGTCCAACAGTGGCCGACCCTCTCCAACAGGCTTATGCTGGCGTCCAACACTACGCAGGTGATCTGTCTCTCCCACCTCCTCTGTTTCACTTCCTCCATCTGTCCATTTCCCTCTCCCCTCTCCCTTTCTGTTTGCCACATCAGTAGACACTATGACAGGGAGAGATAGCCGCACGGCCAGCCAATTTTCTTCCCGGATTAGGATACTTTACATTAGGATTGCAAAAGGATTTTCAGTTGACTTGATTATACACCCACACAATAAAAATCGTAATTCCAAAAGTACACCGAGAGCTGAGGATCTGAACCTGCCACAACCTCCTACATGAGAGATGACACAGACCTCTCATAACCAATGCTTTCTGCATGACATCAGCTCTCATTAACACAGTGTACGTCTCCCTCTCTTTCTTTGTGCGTCTGCTTAGTTGAACTGCACTCCACTCCCCTTTTGCGATACTCTTTGTCTAGTGATCCACCAGCCAAATGAGCCCAGGCTCCCAGTCATAATGCAATATATGTATGCAATGTCTCGAGGATGCAAATGAACAATGGAATAATGATTTGAGTTTTGTTGTGTCAAATATGAAAATAGAGATGTGAAAAACTCTACTCTGGTTCTCCCTTTGCAACAGCAGCCTACCCTGCCGCCTATGCGCCAATCAGCCAAGCGTTCCCCCAGCAACCAACCATCATTCCCCAGCAACAGAGGGAAGGTAAGAGCGAGCGAGCGCGCCCACCCAAGATAAAAGGTGATAATTGCCATGTTCCATTCTAATGTAGCTGTGCTGCTTTGAATTAGCAAGGGAGGGAAAAAGCTGGCTGGGGAAAATGTGAGAAAAAGGCTCCCCATTTAAAGAGAAGAACATTAGCAATGAGATGGAAAGTTACTCTGTCATTATTCAAAAACTGCACTAATTCAAACTCGCAGCGTTGGACTGCTTAATCAGTCCATTACAATGTGTTTAAGTGGTTATAAATATTCATCAGATTAATTAGCTGCATGCATAATCATTTATTACCATTCCTAGTGTAGTGTTCGTTCTTATGCCACAGCATCAGATGTAATAAAGCATAGGCTATACTGTGATGTTAAATCACTCTTTTTGACATCATTAGTCAGTTTCAATTATTCATCTATTGGAGTGTATGAGACAGCATAGAGTGGCATACATATTCAATATCAATAGAGTGTCTCAAACATTGCCAAGAGGAAAAGTTATATGTAAAGTACATGTTTACAATGTGTGTGTAGTGTGAGTGCATGCCAGTGTCACAGTGCAGAAATGTATGAGGAAAGTATAGATAGACACAAACTTATCCTTATGCTGGCATAGTTTCACACCATACGAAAAACACATTGATGTTAAAGACGTCCCATCTCTCACTACTATCTTTAAACATTTTCATCATTTGCAAGAACTACAGAAATCATGATCACACACTCACACACTCTCTCACACACACACACACGCACACACACACACACACACACACACGCTATTCTTGGTTGAGCCAGTGGCCTGTCTTTCTGGCCTCCTCTGGGTTTTGGCTGCATTCCCAGTCTGTCTCGGTCCGCTGCCACAGTCTGCAGCCTTGCCATTTAACAAGAGACACCTAAACCTGAATACACAGCCACAGTCCAGCCTCAGCTTCATCCTCCCTCAGCTAAGAATTACAACAATGCAATCTATCAGTCTGTGTCTGAGTCAGCAAAGAAAATCCCACCAAATCCAAAAATATTATTTTAACCAGACACATTTGTAGTGTACTCTTTGAAAGTATGTGTCCTTTCCACTTCACTGGACTTCTTTGGCAGACAGCAAAACTTTCTGACACAGTAAATATCAATTTATGGTTATGCCAGTAATGCAGTAAATGCTTGATGATGAACTAAAAAACGATTTTCAGTCAGTGCAGCAAGCACTTTTGCTCAAGTTCCATGCCAACTTTACCACATCTGTCCATTATGGCAATAATGACAACCCTTTCAAGAGCACTGGGTTGAATTCATCACTGTCGCCTGTAATTGCATGAATAGAATCATTTCCTGGTGGTCCTAGGTGAATTCCATGCATTGATCTTTCTTGTCAAATCACATGACTACATTATCCACGATGCAACACTTACTGCCGACAGTTCGGTCAGAGATTTAGGTGTATTATGCTAGTAGCAGCTAATGTAGCCTTGAGCCTCGAGCAGAGATGAGGAGCGGTCTACTAAGACTTGTAGTCTTCAGCTCCAACTGACGCAGACATCAAGTGACATCGCTTTAGGAAATGTATCAATGATCATTGTATGATTTAATACTCGTGCTTATAGCCACTCTTCTTCCACACAGCTGAAAGGACATACTTGGAAAAGGCAGACATTTTTTCATGCAATCATGAAGAAAAAGTGGTGTTATATCTGTGAGGAGTTTTAATACAACTGTGCAGCTCGTCCAACCCATCAACCATCATACCCAGCAGTTGGGGACATTTCTTTCTTTCCTTTTTTTCAAAGCATGAATTCTATAAGACACCTAAACAGACAGAACTGAGATTCAGCCTTTAACTGTAACACTTTGTCAACCCGTATGTGTGCGCGTGTGTCCTCTATCTTGCCGAGGCGTAGCAGCAGTACAGCCAGCCACCACTGCAGCCTTCTTATCAGCCTTCTCACCAGCCGCAGTCTCATCTCGTCAAGCTATCACCCAGAGCAATGAGACAGGAGAGAAGGCTAGCCAGGCAGCCAGCTGCAAGCATACTGTCCCCAACTCCAACATATCTCTTTCTCTCTCTCTTTGTATCTCCACGTCTCTCCCTCTCTCTCCAGTTCATGCCTCCCTTTATCCAGATTGGCCTCTACAATATGTGGCAGCTGGGTGGATGAGTGTGGAGGGATGGAGAGAGATTGGAAGACAGTCCTACTGTCACAGAGTAATTGGGACAAAAACTTGGCGTATGCTCTGCCTCCCCCTCCCCTCCTCTGTGTCTCAGTGTTTCTTTTTCTCAATATAACCGTCTTTATCTTTCTCTTCCTCTTCCAATCAACCTCTCTGGTTTTTTTACTCCCTCCTGTTGTCTCTGTTTTTATTCTTAGGTGTATTTCTCTTTTACTTCTATCTATGCTCCTCTACAGCTGTTTGATGTGCGCTACAACTGCTCCCACGTTTTCTGAGACAATAGTCAAGCTTAATTGTTATTTTTATGTGATAAAATCCCACCTATCTATAAAGTTATTATGCCATATGTGATTAAAAAGGGAACCACAAAAAGAGATGAACAAACAACGTCAGAATTAGAATTAAGAAATACTTAACTGATCTCCAGGGTAAATTGATACATTACAGTTGCTCTTATATATAAGAATAAATAAATGTAAGAAAAATAGAAAAAAGGACTATGTATATGATGCACATAATGCTACAATATATAACAATATATGCAGAGGAGTAAATAACAAAAAACAGAAACAAGGAATTATAAATACAATTTATATGAGCATCAAACACACACACAGCATAACCACGATGTAAATAAGGGAAAAATGCTGAGAAGTGGAATCTTGTGTGTTCAATATAAATGCATAAATGATATAATGTGAATAATAACTTATATCACTATAAAAATAGGATGAGGGCGTGTGTACTCAATGATAACTAGGTTTAAAACAACTAATATTTGTGCCGCAGGTAACATAATCAGAATGTGGTGTTTACACAGCTCTTGCGTTCATTGGATTATTGTCTTGATTACTTTATTGAGTCATTTTTCCATGCCTCCCTCCCTCCCTCCCTCTCTCTCTCTCTCTCTCTCTCTCTCTCCTCATGTCCTCATGTAACCTCCAGTTGTCTTTTTCTCATCATCAGGGCCAGAAGGTTGCAACCTGTTTATTTATCACCTGCCCCAGGAGTTTGGAGATGCGGAGCTCATGCAAATGTTCCTGCCTTTTGGCAACGTCATCTCGGCCAAAGTCTTTGTGGACCGAGCGACCAATCAGAGCAAATGTTTCGGTGAGTGAAATAATCAATCGTCAATCATCATTGAAGAAAAGCAACAAAAGCACTGCACAGGTACTCCCTGGGTCCATCACACAGACAAGATGATGGGGCTCGGCAATGGAAAAAGGAAAGTGTTGTGTGAGAAGGTGGACGCTCTAATTGCTTAAAATAAAACAAGCCAAACCCACTATGACTCCTTCACATACTGACCCAAACGTCTTTCCACACATCACCTCATCTTGCTCTCTATCACAGCATTCCTAACACAATCAGAGTTCATCTCCGCTGCTCTGCCATTCCCAGACTGCTTTACCCAGGGGAAAAGCATTTTCCCAGACACCCCCCAGTTCTCCAGCCGGGCAACCCGCAGCATCCCGCCGCCCCTCCCCTCCTCTTCTCTCGCCTCCCACACAGCAAACCAGTTCATCAGGGTGGAGGCAATGCCGGCGGAATCCATGGGCTTAAAGAGATAATAATAGACTGGTGTGGGCCTTACTGTTGATTCAGTTGGACAGTAGCACCCAGGAGACATGCAGAGAGAGAGAGAGAGAGAGAGACTCCCAGCATCGGCTTTCAGTTTCTCTTCCACATGGCATGCCTATGAGGCTTTCTCTTCCTTTCTTCCCTCATCCGTCTTGCTCTGTCCATCTCAGGACGCTCTCTCTCTTTGTGTGCGCTCCTCTAAACATATGCCTCTCGCTATCGCTATCCGTCAGTCAACAAGGGGGAAGGACAAAGGGGCGGTGACCTCATCAGTCTCACCGGCTTATTTTCCACGGCTTGTAATTAAGATCTTGGCTGAAAAACAGCAATTCAACCCATGATTCTTTCTTCACTCATTTCTCCCTCCTTTTTATAGCAGAAGCCCCAGGGCTCCTTTGTAAGACATTAACAAATTAGACAGAAGATGCTGTGCATTAAAGGGGATACGTTATCAGGGGGATAAATTATGAGGCTTCTAAGAGCGTGGAACACTTCATCTTAAAAATGTGCGAGTTCAGCCTTGATGATGTGGATAATGGGCACCGTAGACTCACATACTGTACATGTGTAGATAAACATCAGATTCAGTAGAACAATAGATAGATGGATGGACTGATAAATTGTCTGAAAATGTTTAAATTTGTCCTTGTGCACATTGGTGTGAAGAAAACATGCTCAGTTTTCACTGAAGAAATAAATATCAAAGCAACAATATTTTATACAAACTAACAGAAAGCCAACAACCTTACTGTTAGTTCAGGACATACAACCAATCCCGTCTGTATGTCAGCCTATAGTTAACCAGGATTTAAATTTTCCCACTGTCCTTTGAGTAGCACACCATATTCCATATCCTAATTTAGATAATCCACTTTTTTCTATCTTCTTCTAATTATCTTCTTCTAGTAATTGTTGTAAAATCTAAAAAGCTAAATCTCATATTCATCACCTAAAGAGAGCTAACATTCTTCAAAAATCTCAAGTTTATTGATGTAAAAGTTAACGTATCTACTTCATTTTAAAAGGCAGCATAATGTAGTGTCTTCGTAGATACAGGATGTTTAATAATGTGTTTTATACATTTAAATAAAAGACTTTTTAAAAATTCCTTGCCACTGCAGAATCATTCTTGTGAGTTTTAACAAAAAACATCTATGCATACATGGCCATATTTCTCTGCAGCACAGGTGAACTACATTTTGGGATGTTGAGAGGAGATAACCAGACATCGCTCTTTAAGACGGAGTGTTTACAGAGAAGCTTGGAAATTTGAATATGATGAAAAGGTCACTGGAGGAGCCTTAGAAGCATGTTCTTATAAAAGATGTATTTCTGGAGTAGGATTTGGAGTATGCTCTTAAGGGATCCATCACTGTCAATTCAGACAGATGTCTGTTTAGTTTGGAATTTCTTTTTGCTTTGCGATAAAAATGGAAATGAATATGTGACATGAAGTGATATTAAGCACTTGTGCAGGTGAAATGAGGAAAAGACTTTCGGGATTTATCAATCATTTCGCTTTAAAACAATTACATAAAAAAAAAGGGTTGACAAGAAAGCGCCAGTGTATTGCGTATTAATACACCCTGTGTTATTAGTTAGAGATGCTTTATTGAGAATGTTTAGAACATCCATTAAGGATAGTGTGCAGCCCATAAACACCCACTGTTGAGGAGCTATATTGTGTTTAATCTAGCTGTAACCTGGGAATCTATGGATATAACATTAGCCTTAATCCTCTGCGTTTAGTCACTGAATACTGACTTTTAAAAGTGATCAAAGCTTACCTTGTTAAGTGGAATTAGCTGGATTTACCTTAAAAAATGATTCCAAAAGGTTCTTCTGAGAATGGAATGACACACACAAACACACCTAGGGAGCCCAATTATTTTTAGATATGATAGAAAACATAAACATGCAGCAGAGATGCAATTTACATAAAATGGTTTTCGAGAACATGATACACTCATCTTTTCTTTCCTAGTTTTGCTTTTTTTTTGTTCTTTCCCACTTTTAAGTCTACCTGAGCATGTTCATTTCATCTGCACATTCATGTATTCACTGCGCACACACTTGCCATCCTTAATTAATTTAACCCTTTTAAATAGTTTTTAACAGCCACCCTAAACAGCAAATCTCCAATTAACACTTGCTAATGTAAAATAATTGATCACCTGGAGGTTGACCAACTTGTTCCAAGTGGCAACGTAGTTGCAGCAGTGCAGGAGACAGCCTATGATGGAATTTGAACCAGGACTTCCAGATGCCCCTAGACTACAGCCACCTCTACATTAGTGCATAAAAGGGTTTTCATGGGACCAAACGGCATCAGTGCACAGCATAGTAAGTCCTTCTTTTAGGGAAATGTGAGACGTATGTACTGCAGCATTTTCTGCTGCTCAACCTGGTCCGAGACTTTTTTCCCGGTTGTCAATCAATAATGTTTGCAACCTTGTATGTGTTTTGTTAAAGATGCATGACATTACAAAGCATGCAGACATTCTGCTGGTGTGGATGGCTGCTGCGAGAGCCATACTTCAACCACTAGTAGCGTTCGGGGTATTGAGTTGCGCAGCACCACGCGCTCAGTGCTGAATCAAAGATATGAAGCATCAGCCAGTTACTTTGTCTCGAGAAAACAGCTAAAACTGGAAGCTAAAATATCTTGTTCTGATTATAGAATATTTAAATGTACATGGATATCAGAGCTTAACGTTTGCAGTGCAGTCTGTGTCCTCTCCTTCGGTACTTTGACCCCCAGCATCCTATCTCCTTTTTGGCATGTGGGTGTAAATGTGAGGTATGGAGATTCGTTAAAGCCAGGGATAGTGTGTGTGTGTGTGTGTGTGTGTGTGTTTGTGGGATTGGGAGGGGATCACTGCCAACTGACAGGCCCTTCCCTGCTCAGTTTGTTTAAAGGGTTTGTAAAAGCAGCAGCCTTATCTTACCCGCACTGACAAAAGCCTGCCCTCTCCCCCCAAATTAAATTGGACCCATAGCGGTGTGATCAAATCAGCTGGCAGGCGGAAAATTCGGGCCGTCAATCACAGAGGTGTCTGATAAGAGCAGGCAAGGAGTCCCGGTGTGGAAAGCTGTGGGCTCATTCCGCCTCGACACCCAGGTGATAACTCAGAGCAGCAGGCACCTCCGTCCTACACACCTTGCTCCTAGCATCTCGTCACGACCCCCATGCCCTTTACTCTTCACTCAGATACAGGCTCAGTCACACACACGTACATGAAAACACACACGTGTAGCCCCTGTCACTCTTACGCAGCTCAAACACGCAGCTAACATTTACAGACTTTGCTCTGAAAATCCACACACAACATGAGACTCCTTCTTTTCTCTCTAATCTTTGGACACCTTTTCATGTATTTTTTTTTGTTCTCTGTTCAAGTTAAACTCGCGGCTCCTAACAGCTCCTCTTCGTTTGAATTTTAATATCTGTGTTATTAGCCTTTGTGGTATTTCATGTAATCTTTTTAATTCAAAGATTTTCAATTAATCCCCGGAAAAGAGAAAACAAAGAGCTATTGTTGTGTCATTGTTGAGAGTTAAAAGGGTCTTCTTCTCCCCTCTTTTTTTCTTTCATCTTGTCTGTCTTTGCTCCCCGTCTCTTCCCCTCTCCCTCTCCCTTTCTCTTCTCTGTTTCTCTCTCATCTCTCCCCCATTCTTCTCCCCTCATGTGTTGTTCCTTTTTTCTATCTTCCCATTTGTTTCTGGCCCCATCTCTCTCACATTCTGTGTTCTTGTCTCAGGCTTTGTGAGTTTTGATAACCCGTCCAGTGCTCAAGCCGCAATCCAGGCCATGAACGGCTTTCAGATAGGCATGAAGAGGCTGAAGGTGCAGCTAAAGCGGCCAAAGGATGCCAACCGACCTTACTGACTCGTCTGCTGTCCGTACCCAGGTATAATAACACCCATGCCTTACTATGCCATGCAATGCCTGTTCTCAAACCAAACAACCTCACATGGATAGTTTACATCTTGTTGCTGCAGTAGATGTGAATGTCTGAGAGTGCATTGGCTCAAATCTCAGATGAAATATTATGCAAAATAATAACAAAATATTATTTGTATGATTTAACTTATTTTGACTTTTAAAGGGTTGTATTCAACCATTACGAAGTGAGAGCTTAACAAAATAAAACACAATCTTCAGGTATTTAAATATTTTTCTGAATTGTTTATTAAGACTTCTGGTAACGTTTTGTGGTAAAAGATGCAAATGAACTAAACCAACTCTCCAGTCTTCTCACCAGTACAGAATCCCATCACCCATCATTTGCATTAAAAGGTCTCTGTTGAAATGTATATCACGGACTAATAGAACTACAAAATGCAACAAACTACCTAGTTTAATATATAATGTGATCAACTAGGGAAACAGGTACAATTCTAACTCTGCAGTCATTATCAGACTTTGTCCCCATGAGCCCTGATGTGACATGACATTTGTTTTGTTATTTTTTTTATTATTAGATTTATTTAATTTATTTTTTTCACACATATGCTGTGAAGGCGTCAGGGCACTAGTTTCTAGATTGCACTTTTCACATAATCAGCCTGTTAAACGCCTGTTGGCTGCTCTGCTCCACTGAATTGTTTTTTCTTGGGATTGAAATTGTACATGCATGCAGTATGCTCCAGTGCAAATTCATGACATCATCAATACCCAGCTGTGCATAATTACCAGTCTACTGTATTGAGAATCGATACAAGTTGTTGAGCCACAAATTCATAAAACCAGATTTATAGTACAACAACTTTTTATAAGACTACCGATGAGCATGATAAGTAAACTAATGTTGTAAACGACACGAAAAGTTTGTGCTCACAGAAATAAATCAACAAAAAGATGTTAATGGAAAAGCACTTGCTCAGCCTACAAACTGCAGTGGCTTGTCTAATGGTGGCACCAGCACCTACCCCACTCAGCACCATTTGGTTAGGAAAAGTGATGCTTCACCAACCTCTTCTAAACAGTCTTAGTCCATACTCGTAATCTGTCATTTACTGTTTGCCAATTCCCACAAATAGCAAAAACATAGCATAGGAATATTGTGGTGATTTTAACTTGGTTAAGCAACGAGTGCATGTCCTCATAATTCTAATCACCTGTAACCTTGTAGCAAAGCAGAACTCAATGCTTTGATAACTTGTGATTTGACCATGCATAAAAAATAAATAAATAGAAATATACACAGCAACAAATTATATTTTTTAACACCAAATATGCCAATTTCACTGGGGAAAGTGTTTGTAGCAAACTATGCCAGTGTTTACATATATACAGCAGAGCTACTTTAATACTGAACAATCTTTAGTTAAAACATACTCTATTGAAATCACACTAATATCTGCTTTTTTAAACTTTTTTAATGATGGCTGTTTTTTATTAACTTTGCACTCACAAAGTTGAGCGAGAAACCTTGCAAATGCATGGTTACCTATGTGTGCTTATTGTATCCGGTGCCAGATATCTTCAATATCTAACAGTTCATTGTTTGGGCCCTTAAAATCTCAGAGCTTTCATACAAAATAATAAAAAGAAAGGTTTACTTAAAGTGGCACCATCCTTCAATAAAGACTAATTTCACAGTGTCAGGCTTGATTCAAAGAATCTTCACCCATCTGTTACAAAGTGCAGCTGCCAGTGAAAAATAATATAGATGCATGCTCTCTTCGCACAATTGCCAAGACAACTTTTCATTAGAATAGCATACGCCTGGATTATATTCCTCCATAAATAAAAGCATGGTAATACCATTTGTTTGTTTTAGATCTGACTTGACTCTTTAAAAGCCACACGATGGCGTTAATGGAAGGTGGTATGCAATACAAATGATAGATGCTCCATTTATCTCTTGCCTGATAGCATTTGAATAGGGCCGTGTCCTGCAAATTGAAGAGAGGCTTTCAAAGCAGACACCCTCAAAAAAGGGGGGGGGGGGTGGGGGGGGGGGGGGGTTGGATTTTGATTTACTATAGCGCATCAATGAGGGACAAATGGAAAATATCCTGCAACAGCATTGAATGACAGGGCAGTCATTGAGATGTACTCAGAATGTCTCCAAGTACAGACATTTCCCGCAATAATATTCTGTCACTTTATCAGGAAGTGTGTGCGTGTGTGTGTGTGTGTGTGTGTGTGTGTGTGTGTGTGTGTGTGTTAATGCTTGTGTGTGTTTCCATGTCTTCCTTCGTCTCTGGTCTGGTTCAATCTATCTCTTTGTTTTTCTTCTGTTACTACATCACTTCTGTTGTTGAGTTAAGGGAAACCAATAGACCAAAACCAAGTGCAATTTGATGAAAACATTAAAGAAAAAACTACCACAGTGGGCTTCTGAGGCCAGCTCCTGGTTTATAGATTTACAAAAACCATGAGGGATCTTATAAGAGGTTGGATTTGAAGAATTTGAGCAATCTACTTTAAATAACTTGTATAATTTGTTTTATTATTTTCCATTTATTGCCTTGTATTGCGAAAGAGTACATTGAGTTATTGAGCAGAAGACTGAAATAAGTCAAGTTCAACAGTTACTGTTTAATTTTCTAAATCCAACTGCGTTACAATGATGAAAAACTTTGATGAAACTTGAATGATGAATTTCTCTGTGTTGCTTAGGTAAAAAACTTCAAACATGTAGATAACTCCAGAAGCCCCCTTTTTCTTTCCTCTAATACTGACGATTTCGCTTTGAAGTTAAATTAAAAACGCGATCAGACAGCATTCTCTTCTGCTGGTCTCAGGAGCCCTGCTACTCTGAAATTGCGTTCTGTGTCTTAAAGATAAACTTAATGCAAAAAAGCCGAAGCACTCACTGTACGGCCACCCTCATAGCAAACAATGCAAGGCAAATCCAATTACTGTAGACAGGACAAGTTTCTGAAATATGCATTTCTGCCTTTAAGGGTTATCTTTGTGAATATAAATACATCAATTCAACCTTTTAACCTGCAAATGTTGTCAGCCTGAGAATATTTCACCACCACATTGAGGCACAAGAAAAGGCTCCTTTTTGTGCTTTGTTGAGGATTATTTGTTCTCTTCTTTCTGTTCTACTTGTCAACTTTTTTCTGTATTTTTTTTTTATGGTAATAACCATAATAACTTCATTTGATTTGTTCAGCAGAATAAGTGAGAGTGTGGAATAAATATGGAAAGGGTGCTTTGAATTCTGACTGAAGGAAAAGAAAATCCCACTGTTTCTTTCCTTCTTTTGCACCCCCACCAACCTGGCAACCTGATATGAGCAATCACAGTGGGAGGTGGCCTTTCTCCGCTATAGCCACCCCCCCCACCCCCCACACCTGTCATGGGGCCAGGTTCCCACAGCTGTAAGTTGAACCCATGGTGTCATTTTCTTTTGGATGACGTCATGTGGTGGGACTGTGACTGCGTTGCATGACGTGGCGTTGATTGATATCTCTGAACTCTATCTCTTTATATTCTGCCCTACTTTTGTATACTGTATATTGTATATTGGCAATTTGTGGAGTGCAGTAAAATGATGCCTCTCTTGGCTGGTACCTGTTGTACATAATGTAATGATGTGCTGACTGGTTGGTTGATTATTACTGGAAGTGGCCTTTGACCCTTTGTGCTATTGTACCGTGTGCCCTTGTGATATTTGACTTTCTCTTGTGGGGTTCATGTGTATGGATGTACTGTATTTCCTTTCTCATTTATTTATTCATTGACATTCACATCAACAGCGTTTTTTTCCTGCAAACTATGATTTATTTTTTCATGAAAGTCTGAATCTTTGCAAAAAAAGGACCTTTTTCTCCCTCCGATCGACAGCTGTTTAGTTGAGAGATGGCCAAGATGACCCTATGTTTGTGTAGCCAATTAAATCTCCACCGATCACGCAGAGAGCACAGGCAAATGTTGACACTCCACTTCTCCGTGGATTCCATCTGCACAGGGAGTACTTCTGCAAGATTGTTTTGTTTGCCTAACATGAGAATCACTTCCCATTTATTTATTTATGAGGGTGCAAACCAATTACGCCGTGATAGCAGAGCTGCAGACCCACATGGCTAAAATATGTCCACCATACAGCCATACTGTACACAGAGATGTATAGGCAGGGTGCCGAAATAGAACAAAATACAAATACCTGGGATAAGTATTTGCTCCTGCCAGTTGTTTTTTAGTAGGACAATGCCAGCAGATAAATTAGCTCTCTCTTGTTTTGTTGGCATGTATCGGAGATAATTATGACGCGCTCTTTAAGAAGAAAAGGCAGCAAACAGATTCACAGTGAAAGAGGTCCTTTCTTTGCAAGTGAGTTTGTTTCTATCCCTCCAGGCCAAACCCTGATAAGAGTTAGTCGTTTTCATCGAACTCGTACTGCCCTATTCTCTCAGAAGCCCTGCAGGCAACTCTGCCTTCCGTAGTCTATCCAATGAACTCAAGGGGTTGTCTAGTCAGGAAAGACGGGAGGGATAAGGTCTTTCTGGCATCAACTATGCCTCATAACTGCCAGGTGTCTTTTATGAAACCATCTAATTAGGTGGCAGTATGGTGGGAGGGCATAATACTGGGATACAAAGCTTGTGAAAAAACGAAAATGAAGTCTTTATCATCTGACAGAGTTGGAGGATGAAATACTTGTGATGTTTTGAAAGAAGCTGTTTACTTGGTGGAAGGGGGGTGGGGGGGGGGGGTCTATTTTAAAGCCACTGTGTGTTTTTCTGCTCTGTGCTAGTATACATATAACGCGAGTGGCTTAGAAAAGAGGGCATCCGTAATCGGGACTGTTCGTGAGTGCTCTATGCTGCTAATGGCTGGGCTTGCTTTGGCACACATAAAAATAAGAAAAAACAGATCTATAATGAAATGGTAACAAGCTCATTTACAGGAATGGAAAGGTAGAACAAAGAGTGTCTGGGCACGCGTGTTCCCGTCACAAAGTCAGTCCCTTTCATGTTCGCTCCCAGAGAGTGATTTGCTGTGATTTAGTAGCCTTTCTTCACCTACATCATAGCTCACAACATATTAGGGATGATAGGCTGCAAACTAGATCTTTTATATCCAAATCTCTGCTGCACAGACATATTTAGTGACAATGCAGCATTTCAAGTCAACACAACGATTGGCGAGATTCTAGGTTGGCTTTTCATGGGATTCTAATTAGAGGCTATTTGTTCTTTTCTTTCATGTTGGACAACCATCACTTTTTCTGTCATATTCATAACACTATTTCAACACTCACACTTCTTGTCTTCTTTATGTTTCCTTCTTGTTCTTTTGGTAGTTTATTTGTAATGAATTAACAGTAAGTCGAATGACAGCAACATCTCAGACGACATTCAGCTGTATTTCTTTTTATCAAGGGGCATGTAGTCCATTTGAATTAGGCCTTTCTTGGATTAGTGCTGTCACAGTGTAGATGTTCCATATGGTTAAAACACAAATCTCCAACCCCACCTCTAGCCCACTTATTTCTGGTTTTTGATTGACACACTCCTCTTTTTTTTCCTCCCCCCCGTCTGTTTCTCATGCTGTTGGCTGTGCCTGTCAGTCTGTGTGATAACCAGGAGCCAGCAACCCTGAGCATGTTTGCCGCAGCCTCACTGAATCCACTCTCCTTATTCTCCCCCTCTCTTTCTCTCTCCTCCTCTCTCTCGCTCTCTCTGTGTCACAGGATGAAGGGCCACAACACCTTATTTCCACAAGTGCAGTAAAAGTACAAAGACTTCTTGCTCTGCTACATATCATGAAGGAAGGGTGGCCCCTTGATCCAGCTGGAAACCCGCTGAAAGATTGGGTGACTGAGAGAGGGATCCCAGAGTTTTGTTTTTTTCTTCTTTCTTCGCAAATGCCTTTTTTTCCCTTTTTTGCTTCTGCGTCTGTGGAAGAAGATATTTTGCAGAGACCAACTTTTTGCTGCTGTTTTTTAGACATGATGGGGAAAAAAAACCTTTATAGACTCATTATGCTCAAAGCATGCATACTGACACAAGATATAGATAAACACACATCAACACAGATAACAAAACAAAAACACACATTTAAAGATGCTACACTTAAAAACGAAAAATGAAAAAAAAAAATACTTTGTACATGTATAAATACGTGCAAATGCCAACTCAAGTACTGACCCAAACACATTCATGTGCGTACAAACACATACACACAAACACACACACCAGCCTGCTGCCATTTTGGTTTTTGTGCCTACACAGGTGTTGTGCTCTGTGACAGGGCAAGCTCTGGATCAAAGAAGAAAATGAGAAACAGAAAAGAAGAGGAAGAGAAGAGAAGAGAAGCGAAGAGGAGAATCCAGGATAATTTACATGCATCATTCCTTAGGAAATAGGGACCAAAGGACTAAACGCTTTTTAAAAGAATATAAATATATAAATATATAAATATATATTTAAAAAAACTCATACCTTGTAGCTGCAAGTATTACAATTTACTCGTAGTAAAAAAAAAAAAAATCATTAAATCAATATCCAGTGGCCTACTGTAATTATGAATAAAAGAAAATGGAAATAATGTATAAAAAAAAGACATGGCATCGTAGTATAAGGGGTGATCTTTTGCTCTGGATGCTGATTTAGCACCCGGTTGTAGATTAGTAAAGTAGATTAGAAAAAAATGTAGATTTGCTAACTTTTGCTGTTGTTTAAAAAAAATAATACTTGAAGTCGTAATGAAAAGTGGGCAAAGGGGGCAAAGGTTGAGGGTGGGTGTGGGGTGGTATTCATCTGCCCCTGTACGCAACGAGTCTCTTTTTCTTGGACGTTAAGGTGCCACTGGATATCTCGCTCATCATGATGTATAAGTCACCGCACTCTCTGACAGCTATGAACAGACTGTTCTGGAAGAAGAAAAAAAATGAAGAAAAGACAGAACTTGCTAATGTCTGTGCTGGACAGGGTGCAGACGTTTAAGGCTTCTCAGTAGCCTTTGTGTTCAAGCGACAATCCACTGTAAAGACCAAGCAAAATGGACATGGGGAGTCTTTTGAGTTTTTTTCTTGACCTTTTGTATTGCAACAAGGAGTGTGAATTATGAAGCCACAAATTGTTTGAAAGAGTGACGGTTCTACTAAGAGAGATGGACAAATGGATGGTCATGAGGGCAAAAGAAAGGGAGGAGTATGGTGACAGCTACTGAAACTGCCAGCAGAATGAACTCAGCATATAAATAAAGTGGCCCTTATGGCGTTGGAATTCTGTCAAAAACAAAGTATTCACGTTGTAAACAACCAGAACTTATTTAAGTGACATGCCAAGGATATGTGTGTCCACTGGAGCAGCTGCAAAACCCCAGATTGAGAAAAATTGCCTCTTGTCTCTTGGGTAGATACAAACAAACACTTCTTTGAAGACAAACTCGATTTACTGTATTGATGACAACGCAGTGCAGGCTTTCAGAGCTTATCTAGCTCTATCAAATATAATGTTAATTCCACTATTAACATGCCTGCTTTCTTCATATATTATACATAAAGCGTATGGAGTAAAAAAAAAAAGGCTCTGTTTAAACAGACTGTCTAAATTAGATCTAACAGTCACCCTTAACTATCATTCAGCATGCTTGTAGCTTCTCTGACACTGACGCCAGACAGGACAGAGTAAAGCACTCCAATACTGTCATGTCTTGATTTAGAGTCCTGTAGCCTTTATTTTGACCGTTTCAGAGCTCTGGATGCAGCCTCTTCTATAAAAGCAGATTAATATGTTTGGAATGAGCTTAGTGAGAGGAGCGATACTGTATCAGTCACTCTGAACACTTCCCAATTTTCTCTGTTGAACACCAGCTCATATCCGTACACCAGCTCTTTGAGCACTGGCAGCTGGCGGTAAGAGGCATGGCTTGGAAAGAAGGAGAGAGGGAGGTAAAGGGAGGAAGTCAACACCCAAACACGGCATTGAGATCCTTTAAATTGATGCTTCTACAGTAGGATGATGGCCAATGACTTAATCCAGAAAATTAGAAGCTGTAATCAAGCTCCTGGTGACAAACACTATGTATCTGTGTGAGATGCTTTCAAAAAACAGGATTAAAGGGTTAAAATATACTGGGGTCTGGTAATTTAGGCTCCGGTCGAACCAGTTCCTGTTTACTGCTGTCCCCTCCCTCTTTCTCTGGCTTTCTTTAGAGAGAAAAGCAGAGCAGACCTATATTTCAAATCACTGAAGGAGGGACTGATAAAATGTGCCGGCAGTTTATTCACCGCACTACAATTTATTTATAATTTAAATAAGCAGGAGGTCTGGATTTGATATCAAGAGTGCCATGTATCCCCTCTCTCCCCTGTCCTAAGAGCAGCGATGCCTTTCCAAACCTCAGCTCAACTGTTCAGCAGCTCTCCCCCCTGGAACGGCATTTTCAAACCTGGCTAATGTCTGTACTCACCAGCCTTCAATTATCGCCTGCACCGTATTAGACATGCTATTTCACCTTTCCCTCTAATCACACTGTAATCACCAGCCTCCATACATTAGCAGCAACCAAGTGAAAAATCACAGCGATAATCACTTGGACCAAATGACGGAAGAGATGGTCCCCTGAATGCACATGGATGACAGAAGGAAGATTAGAGAGAATTATGTTTGTCCCTACTCCCTGGCAAGGCTGCTGACAGCTGACCTGGCACCAATAATACTGTTGAATTTACCCGAAGAGGCGATAGAGGATGTGGGATAAAACCTTCCATATCATAGCGTGGTGTTAATATTACAAAGCAGATTGACATTCCCCAAAATTCAAAGAGAAAAAGGTATGAAACAGTTTTTTCTTTTGCACAAACGTTGCGACAGTAGTTGCTTAAAGTTGGGTCCAAACCAACAATTTTGCTGGAAATCCTGAATTCCGTAGAAGCAGCTGCATTGAGGCCTATGTTATTGTGCTTCTTCTTTCAGCATGTAATTGAGTCTCAATTACTTCTTGAGAAGCCACAATTTTTTACAAAATAAAAGTACAATCCTTTCTTTCTCTTGCTTGTATCCCTGCTGGGACACCTGCAGACCACAGTACTGTGGATTTAGAATATTTGTGAGGCACGGTAGTTCTTCAGATTCAATTCAGATTCAGATGGCCATGAAAAATGACAGATTCTTTTGATTTTTTTAATTAAATTGCCTTCAAATAAACGTAGCCCTGTCCTCCCTCAAAAACCCTTGATCAGATGTTAGTTACAAATGCAGAAAGCTACATGAATTGTTTTGAAGTGAAGCAGGTCAAAACAAAACCATGTTCTGCAAACCGCTTATGCTCATTATTCACGTGAAGCTGAACTAATCGATGGGAAATCTAATGTTCCATGAGCAATGAAATTTCCTGTGCTTGTCTCTACCATCTTTAGAATACCTTCTGCAAGTGAGGCTCTGTCAGGCTGAACATGGACCTTGTCTTATATCAGATGCTGTGCTAGTTCCCACTGCTAATGGCAGGTTGAGTCCCCAGTGAGCCCAAACCCAGCCTATAGCCTGGATATCCTGCTGTCTGCTTGGCTTACAGTGCAGTGTTCATGTAGCTTCTCTGCTATGCCAGGGCTAAATTAGGCAACGTGAAATCAGCACTTCAACACTTTTAACAAGGGTGCTGTTATTACTTTTACACCCAGGGGAGGTTGTTACTGAAGGGAAGTGCATTAAAAACAGAAATAGCTGTGAAACATGCTTCGGAGCTACAAAAACAATGTTTTTTAGATCTTTCCATTCCCCCAATTATTGACACAAGTCTCTGTCTGCCCAGCTCACAGCCTCGGTCTTGTCTGGTTATAGCCCAGGCCATGTTTCACCTCTAAGAGCCATGATAAATGTGTACCCAGCAGGCACTCGGCAAGCTGCTGCCAAAATGTTATTCGATTTTTGTCCTCTAATTTACAAATAGAAAATGTAACTTGACATTTTAGCCTAAAACAATTAGCATGAATCTAATTAATTGTGAGAGTATAGCATTTAGCACGTCAGGCAAAACCTACAAGGCAAAGTCAAACATTATGTCCAAATCCCCAGAGGCATATGGATTATCTTCTCTGTGGCCATACAACTACCTTTATTTATCATCTCCCAATCAGTGGTTTAGTGCACAAGTATAACCAGTTCTCTTACAGTGAGTATGTAGACCACTTGCTTCTCTGCCACTGATGCATGTACTCACTCTGACCCTGCATCATTAAATGAGAATGGGGGGGATATGGACATAGTATACATATATATCCTCAGTTGCCAGTACACGACTGCTCATGAGATTGGTCTAGAGGAGCATGTATCCTTAGAGGGCCCCAGCCAATGGCGGGCTGCGCAGAGAACTGCTAGAGCATGTCTATGAGTCTCCAACCCCCTGGGTGCGTAACACTCACCCTAAAATAGCAGTAATTGTCAAGGAAAGGAAGTGAAATGTAATTGACTGAAAGTGGAGAGATAATTAAAGGAACCTGTTGGACAGGAGGGAAGAAATTAATGCCTCTCATTTAATAGCTGCTTTGGGAGGGAGCTTTTCCGTCATCTCACTTTAGCATAGAGTGGGTTTTGCTGTGGAAATGGGATTTTGCATGGAAAAAGGTGGAGGTGGAAATGGGCACTGGGTGGTGGGGGTGCTGTGTGCTTAACTGAAACTCCACAAAATCACTCCCAATACTCAGGGCATCAGGCGCTATGATGTCATGATTAGTGGAGAGGTTCAGAGCCTTGCCTTACCCGTGATCCTGAGGGAGGTCGAGCAGAATCACTAATATGAGGTCAGTGCTGTAAGATCGGGTCCCATCGCGGGGGAGTGCCAAGCCAGCAGAAGGGCTGATGAACCACCTAAATAGTGCTTCGGATTTATGGTATCACCACCCAATTCCAACAAGTAACAAACAAACAAACAAAAATGATGCCATCTTCCACCCAACGTCACACAGTGAATCTCTGGTGGTGTGAAATTATGTTCAACAACATGGCTGACAGTGATGAAGACAAAGACTTTTTTATTCCTCCATGTAAATAGCCTATAAAATGAAAAAAAAAAAAAAAACAGTGGAAGGCTGTATAGCAGCTTGTTTTGAGAAGCCCCAACTCTGTGGGACAATGATGTCACTATAAAATGTATCCACAGCAGTGCAGGGATCTAGGAGAGTTTTAGTTCTTTTAAGCCCCTTAAGTTTGGGCTCTGAACATGCATCCTACAACCCTAAGCGTCGGACCAAGGCTTAGAGTATTTGACTTAGTGTCAAACTTAAGCCACGGCCCCGAAGTGATCCGTTAATTAAGATTCTGTGTACACCGATTTGTCATGATTTTTCTGACAGAAGAAAGATCGCCTGTGCGGTAATTGGATTAGTCCAATTGGGGCTGATGAACAGATATGACAGTGACAGTAGAGTTCATCCATCTGCATGCTTACCGCTTGACAGTACAACACAAAAAAAAAGAGAAAAGAAAAGCCACCACGACACTTTTTAAAAGTCTTTCAAAGTGAAAGTTTTGGCTTTACAACATTTAAAGAAGTTAGTTTTGCAAAAAGAATCTCCACGTTTGTTCAACATGTACATAAGTCATTTTGGAATCAAACATGTAATACACATGGTGGAACCCACATGTACGTGGTTAGGGTGAGATCGGGGGAAGGGGAGGAACAAGAGAGCAATTGTTGGAGAACCCAGCAGAACCCCCTGCCAGCTTGACCCAATCTGCCACAGCTCTCCTGACCACACAGCTGCGTTACTCCTGTACATACAATATAGCTTATTTTTCAATTCTGTTGAACCTTCTTTATAGGCCGTACGTTAGATCATGTTCAAACATTTAAAAAATTTAAAGAATTGTTAATATATTTCAGTGAAACTAAGAGAGGGAACCTATGAAATAATTTATCCAAAACAGAAGATGAAATGATGTTATTTCTTATTTAGTGAAGCACTGCTGTTCAAAATGGGATTTTATACTCATGTTGGTAAATTATTCTTTATTATCTCATTCCCTTTGGTATTATCTGCTGAAGCTGGGATAGACCCATTGTCATGAGGTTTATTCGGATATACTTTGATCATTTTTTTGTTTCCTGAAAGTTCTTAAATCAATACAAAACTGATCAATTAAAAACTGCACTGTAAAAGGATGATTGTTGGTACCGGTCATATGGATTCAGAAAAATAACTCTATTGCACAACTGAGTTAACATGGATTAGCATTGCATGTTCAAAATGAGTCTCATTTGAGGCCTTTTGTTGTTTTAAGGGGAAAAACAGCATACAAAAACAAAAAAACATCAAACTTTGCAGTCAGATTGGTTTTGAGAACGATGCTGTCATACCTCAGTTTTTAAGCCATGGATGGTTTCCTCTAATGTTTTTCTTCTTGTCTTTCTCTGTCACATTGTAACTGTGTTGTTTCTTTTGATTTGTTTGTTAGAAGGGTTGGTGGTAATCATTAACATATCTCTGATTTTTATCTTCTCTGTTGTTACCTATGGGAAGCCTCCACAGTTTGTTATCTAATGTGACTCGATCCACTGAAGACTTTGTACCAACAGTAGACAGTGCCACATTGCTTTACTCCGGTCAGGTTGATTTGTTAATGTGAGGAGGGAATTCTGCCTTAAACCCAGCCTGTTCTCTCTGACAGTACTACCTGTGAGCAGTGGTCATATACTGTACACTCTTTTCTGGGGATGCCAAATGTTCTATCTTCAAAGGTAAACAAACAATCTGTTGTCAAGAAAAACACTTTGCCAGAGTCAGTTTTGCCTCAAGCCCATTCTGACACAAATAAGGACGTGGTCATCCACCTCCATTTCCATTGGTTACAAGGACCAAAATGTAAACAAACTCAGATAACTGAGCAGTTTGCTCCAATCAAGCATTCAATGAGAGCCTTTAAAGAATCCACATTTAGTCATAGGTGATTTTGCACCATGTGTCTTTGTATCATGAATCATTACATTCCCAGCTTCACTATCTAATTTCATCCTGTTCATTTGTTCCCATGCAAAATGAATTAATCATGATATATTTGGGTATTTATATTCACAATGAATGGAATTAATCATTTATTTTATTATTTGACTTGAACAAACTGTTTTCTTTTTGTGTCGAACAGAGATGTAATTTGAAATAGTGTTGGCGCGGATCCGTTTCCCTGATTCGGGGTGATACCTCCCATAGTGCTCCTGAACTCTGTAGTTCTCTAGTTCATTATATTCTGCTTAGACTAAAATAAAGCACAGTCCTGTAGAAGATTGAGCCTGTTTTGTCCTTCCTTTTTATCTATTCACATTGCTTGATTAAATAATTCCTGAAGGTTTGGATCCATCATGGCGTGCGTGCATATGCATCACCCCGTTGGCAAAGATGTGAAGTGTGCGGTGTCTTCTTGTCACTTGGATTGTGGAGAGAATGCATTTAGGACATGCCATTGTATTAATTGAGCTAACACCGCTAACCGTATCCGAATACCAAATTAGATGAGACGGTTAGTAGAAAATCGTTTAAAAAAGGGCGAATAATGCATAATAAATGGAAGGGAGATTGGAAGAGGGAGGGAAATAAATTGTGAATTGATTAAAGGGAAATGGATATTCAGCTCTTGTCTCGTAGAGGTGTTACAGTGGAAACAAAATCAGGTGCAATGTGTGCTGCTGGTTATCGTCTGTGAATAAGAAACAGGAGGTCAATCGATTAATCAGAGGTTTTCCTCATGCTGCTTTTTATTGACAGAGACGTTACGATAAGAAGGGTCAGGTCACATTGAAGCCTATGGTCAGTGTCCTTTTTATGACCCAGAGTCTCCTCATCGCTCGTTAACCCTCTGAGTCAGTCAGCACCAGACGCCTCAAAACCAATTACAGGGGAATGAAAAGTCCTTACAACATTGTGTCTCACAACTAACCAAAACCCGCTGTGCACAGTGGGTGAAATAATTGAACTTCTTTCTTTGCAAATCAACATGGTTCAACAATTTCCAGCATTCGCAACTGTCCATCACAGCAGAGGGAAAACATCAAACTCCCTGACAGTAATTGTTCCCAGAGCAGAGTATGACACCCCAGGGAACATCGATGACCAAACCATCCCTAGACACCAAACATCATTTCTTGTTTATGGGCCTCTCTGGTGCGTCTGTGTAGTAGCATTGGTGTGGAAACAGATTTATGGTGGCTAAATTTGCTGGCGATAAAAAGGCAAAGAGTGGCCAGTTGGGGCCCTAACTCTTGGCTATTCACATGTTGACTCCCGTGCCGAGTCTCCGGGGACCCTTTCTCATTGTGCGGCAGACACTCCATGATTCCACATGACAAACTGGATTGTTCCTCGAGTGAGTCCTGCTGAATTATTTTGGTCCTTTCGATTGCATCTCCTACCCCTGAGATTTCCCCCTACTGTTGCCTTTGAGCCATAAGCCTCGACAGCCACCGTTGTCGATACTCAATCTGTTCTGTAACCCCTAAAGCTAATGAAATGTGCTAACAGGGGTTTGTTTGTTTCTCTCCAGGAGGGGGGCCAAGGGAAAGAAAATGGAACAACAAGACTCTTTTGACAGTTCCATTTTTTCTAATGTTTTGTAGTGAGGGATAATCATGAAGTATGGATTGGATAGGGGAAAGTTATTACATTTTGTTGTCTTTATCCTTGTTTGAGTTGTAAAGAAAAGGCCAGATTGTTCCAAACATGATTCTTTGCAGTTCCCGGATTTATCCTCAATTCTGACTCCCCTGCTCAGTGTGGGGAAGGAAAAATCGTTTTTCTCACTTTTCTCAACCTTGTATCCCTGTAAATCTTTGGTGTAAATTTGACAAACACACAACCTCCTGTCTGGCTCGAGTGTTTCTTGTGTGTATTTAATTTATTGGTGATGGTGATTGGGATGGGGCGGTCTTATGAAGCTCAAATACTACAGCTGACAACACAGACACAGATGGTGTTTCAAAGATCTATCTCAGTCTTTGTAGTGTCCTCAAGTGTCTTCAAGATCATGTAGAGTTTTGAAATTTTTTAAGTCTGCTTTGCACAGGTAACCAAAAGTATTTACCATCAGTGACAACGAAACTGCAAATATTACTGTTTATGTACTACATGTTAAACATCTTTTCGAACTGTACATTCATTGAATCTGGCAGCTTAAGATAAAAACATGATTGCTGTGAACGTGCATCATTGTTATTAGATGACAATATTAACTATATAAATTTAAGATATTTTTTATTTTATATATATATATGTGTGTGTGTGCACTCTAATCCCTTCAACGCACTTTTAAATTCATGCCATGTGCCTCATTATATCAAGGAATGGTGTGTTTGTAGGTAAATGTAAATAATGGCCTTTCAACTTCTTAACTATGTCCTACACAAATATTTACCATATTGACTTATCACTTGTCACGTACCATGCGTTTAGCATTTGACTTTTATCGTCCATTAACCCATCAATGCATCCATTAGGGACACTCAAGCATTGGGGAGCCTCCGAACACTCCAATGGGCCTATTAGCATGTCCTTTGATGGGAAACATGTTGCAAACAGAAGCTTGAGCCACTGCACTCAGAAAACTGAATGTGCTGTCAACACCGTCTTTAAATTGCAGATTTGCATAGAAAAGTATTTATGCCTCTTCTATGACACTTCTTTTCTTCGAATTATCATTACAAAAAAAAGGTCCCTGGAGGAGGCCGGCTATGACAAAGGGTGGCAAATTTCAATCCCATCCCTCTTAACATTCAGATTCCGAAATAACAAAAGATTATAACTAAATGAAAGTGTGAAGAAGACCTGGGTAAGCAAAGCTACACAATCCCTTTGATCCTATTATGTATTACAAAAGCTTAATCAATATCTAATCAAGGGGAATACAGCATGCCATGTCTTACAGAGCTCTTTGCTGTCAGAGGTGAGGTTGCCATGGTGACTGGACAGGTGTGGAGAGCTCAGGCTGCAGTGGTATTGATGGAAATTAAGAAGCATTGATGAGCGTTGAAGATGCTGGGATTGAAAAGGGAGATAATTAAAGAGAGGGATGCAGAGGGAGGTGCGGAGAGACAAAAGAGATTTAGAGGCTGGAGATACAGGAGGTGATGCAGACAGGTGTGATTCGGACGTGCTGCCCTCTCTTTGGTTTCCAGGAAGTGCATTTGCTCAGACCAACAGAAGACAACTATTAGAGAAGAAAATAAAACACATTTAAGATGCGTGTGAAATTAAAGTTTCATACTTCTTCCAAGGGTTTGTAAACACTCTTTCATACTTTAACAACTCAATTTATTTCTCAAAAAGCAACAGAAAACCACAAACCGCAACAATTACATTTGCAGATAAATACCGGCAGGTATACCTGTAAAACACATGTAAATGTATCAAATGCAAAACATAACAAACAGAGCTTTAAAAAAGCACAGCCATGTTTCTTTTTGATTCTGCCTTGAAATGGCTCTTAATTCAAACATCCTTAAAATTCTTGATGAAGCCAGTTTCGAGGAAAATATGAAATTGAAGATATGGTTGTTGACCACAGTCATTAGTGTACAAGTAATCTCATTCCAAACTGCAATCAGAAACTCAACTTAATGTAGTGGGCCCTATTCCTTTTAAAACCACTGGCCTTTCCAATGAGTATATTCCACAAGGTTCATTTAAGTAACTACATTCCATAGATTCTAAATGTAATGAGAACACATTGAGGGCATGCACAGGCCTCCATTTTTATATCTCAATTCCTTTCTGTCTCATTTCGAGGTAATTCACAGGGTGGTAAAACTGTAGCAAGGGAAGATAACGTGAGTGAGAATGAGCGTGTTAAAAAAACACCAAAACATCTGAGTCATAGACGACCCGGGCAAACTACAGATGATGTCACTGCGGTGCACAGACTGTGCTACAGAGGGGAAACTTGTCGAGCGGCGCATCTGCACGGTGCTGTTCAACCTCGTGACTCATCCGAGCGGCGGGACTCCGGCAAGTTCTGTCCTTTCTGGCCCTCAGCCCTGCCCAGTCCCACAGAGAGCTGTCTGCCGACACCTGATTAACACTTGAGATAATAGGTCATTAAAGTCCCACTTCAATCAATGAGTCCAATCGAGTAATCAAGGCAGAGATTGAATGAACCCAAACCAGCGTGGAGCCCGGTGGGAGCGGAGAGCCGTTAATCGGTACTGGGGAGAGTGTTGCTTTCATCTGTAGATGTACGCAGAATAACACTGTTGTGGTTGAAGCCACCCAACTCCAATTTGAGGGATTATTTTTCTTCACTAGTGTGGGGATTTAGGGTCGTATGACCCTTATGACATCAAAATCAAGTGCATCATTTTAATAAACCAAGAGAATCTTCATCCTTCATAAAACACTTGTTTTTCACCCATCAGAAGTTAGTACAGAAACCTAATCATCTCCTCGATTTGTATGACCTCCACACACAATGCGCTGTCCAAAGCTCTGCGACACACACTTTCCACTCTCCTCTCCAACCCCCCAACCCCCCCCTTGTTTAGCTGATGTATTGGCTCTGGCCTTTGTTTAAATCTCTCTTGGTATTTGATGGGTCAATGTTGTTTAACCTGCCACCTTTCAGCTGGGAAATTTCATCCATTCTCATAAATCACACTGAAGTGTCATTACTTTCTGATTACTGTCTTAATCACACAAATATACAATTATTGCTGCTCATAAGCGTCCAAATTACCACACATGGATGGTTACTAATTTCTGAAATACGATACGCACGCACGTATGTTTTATTGGACTATCATATCATATGTTCCACCACAGTTTGTAATATTTATGAACAAGCATGGACACAATCCTGCCACCTAGGACATTGTGCGAGTGTGCGTGAGCTCGCGCGTGTGCACGGGCACTTGAGTGAGGAGCCGAGCCGGCTGACAGCTGAGCTGAGCTGAAGTGAAAGTGTGAGGCCCAGTGACGGAGAGAACAGAGGGATCAAGCATTATCATCAAAAACGACTTCAGTGCTCCCTACTGCGGCCTCACAGCTTCCTCCAGTCAAGCTGTCCGTTTGTTTGTTCGTTTGTTGTGTCAGTGTGGATGGTTCGTCTTTTTTGAATCAATGCACTTTGCAGCCTCTATTACTCCATGGGGGACGGAGACACGAGCAGAGGACGAAAAAAAAAAAAGTTGGGATGTCCTCACCGGAAGGTCTTTTCAAATCCGTATTGAGATTGTCGATCCTGATTCACATATATCTTAATGTAGGAGAAATTTATTGTGCCAGAATCACATTAACAAGTTCC